CTGGACAGAATTCAGGTTCTCGTATTCAGGTTCTGCCCTGGACAGAAAATGCTCCTTCTTGGGCATTTGGGGGTAATGACATATCGGAAATTAAAACCTCACCTTAGTTAGGAGAGATGGCTAGGTTTGGGGCAGGATGGGAAGGGATGGGATGGGATGGAATGGAATGGAATGGAATGGAATGGGATAGAATGGAATGGAATGGAATGGAATGGAATGGAATGGAATAGAATAGAATAGAATAGAATAGAATAGAATAGAATATAATAGAATAGAATAGAATAGAATAGAATAACAGAGTTGGAAAGGACCTTGGAGGTCTTCTAGTCCAACCCCTTGCCTAGGTAGGAAACCCTACACCACTTCAGACAAATGGTTATCCAACATCTATTTAAAAACTTCCAGTGTTGGAGCATTTACAACTTCTGGAGGCAAGTTGTTCCACTGGTTAATTGTTCTAACTGTCAGGAAATTTCTCCATAGCTCTAAGTTGTTTCTCTCCTTGATTAGTTTCCACCCGTTGCTTCTTGTCCTGTTCTCGGGTGCTTTGGAGAATAGCTTGACCTCCTTCTTCTTTGGGGCAAGAAAAAAATCATAAAGTATCGGGACTTACAAATTGAAGTTGAGCGACTTTGGGAAAAAAAATTGTGTGTTATCCCAATTGTAATTGGAGCCCTTGGAGCAATACTTAAAGGGCTGCCTCGCTATTTGGAAATCCTGAATTTGTCAGACTTGAATACCCTGATTCTACAAAAAAAAACCCACCCTATTTGGAACAGCTTATATCCTCCAACGCTACCTGAACAGTTCCTAGGTCCTTGGTTAGGACTCGAGCTGTTGAGCAACCAACCAGCCCCAAAGGCTGTGAATCTCACTAAAGATTAAATAATAATAGTAATCATCATCATCTCTATTAACCATTTAAGAGAAAGGGCAGTTGCCAGTATCCATCTGTGTCCATTTATGTGTCTATGTGTCAGTCTCTGTTTGTGTGTGTCTGTCTGTCTGTCTCTGTCTCTCTCTCTCTCTCTCTCTGTCCTTGAAATGTGATCATGTGGAGGAAGGTCAGCCATGTCAATTTATAGGAGGAGCCCGAAGGATGCTGGGCACCGAGACTCACTTTGAGCCCCAGACAATCTGGGGGAAAAAGTTGTTGACTGCTATTTGATCGCTGATGTCATGCAGGAGAGCCAGCGAAATTATCCTCCCTCCTGACATAAACCTCGTCTGCCTTTTCTCTCTCCCTCTCCCACCAGAGAGATGCGCTCATCAGGGTGAAGGTGGCATGAAAGGCAAAACTGATCAAAGTTTAACATTTTATATTGCTTCGCTGCAAAGCCAGCAGCCGCTTCAGCCATTAAAACTCTTCTTCCACGACATTGACCCCCAAAATTATCTTCAGCTCCAGGCTTATTTTTGAACTTCCCGGCAATTATTTTGTGCCCGAAGCCAAATTCAAAGACCACGATCTCTCGGGCCTGTGGTTCCTTTCTGCCGTGTCCGCGGCAGGCAAGTTCTGATGTCCCACTCGCCATTGTAGTCATATAAACTAACTCAGTTTCTACAAGCCAAGTGAGAGGACCAAAATGGTGCCTGGAATGGCTTGACGGGGTCCTCAGTGCTCTCTGAGATTTATTCCTTTTATTTTATTGATTTAGTTTAGTTTGTCAAGCATGCGTGAGAAAACAAGTATAAGCATGAACATAACATATAAACATATACCGTATTTCCCCATGTATAAGCCACCCCTTTTTTCCAAAATTTTCAAGCCCAAAAAGTAGGGGGGTGGCATATACAAAGCAGGTACACTTTTTATACGTGAAAAATGCATAAAATAATAAAGTAGGAATAAACTGGTTTTCCAGCAGTATGCTATACTTTTTTGTAAAAATTGTACGTGATGATACGATTACGAGTGCGAGTACGCAATAGAAATGCATACGCTAGGCATCGGCCTGAATGCTTCGTTCCTACTCTCGTTCCGATGCGTAGATTGCTAGCGTCGCCCGCACCGCTTTCGGCGTCATGACCGAAGTTGTAGATCTAGACGTCGAATTTTGTTTCTTTGTAAATTGTCTTTCTTCATAACTTGTTTCTCTAATAAAATATTTTTTTCAAAACTTCACAGTCCAAAAATTGGGGGGGGTGGCTTATACAAAGGGGGTGCTTATACATGGGGAAATACGGTACGTGTCAACGGGTATAAGTATATACATAATCAAAGAGTATGAATAAATGGGAACAGTAGGACAGGAACGGTAGGCACGCTGGTGCACTTATGCATGCTCCCTTACAGACCTCTTAGGAATGGGGTGAGGTCCACAGTAGACAGTTTAAAGTTAAAGTTTTTGGGGTTTGAGGATGTAACAACAGAGTCAGGTAGTGAGTTCCAGGCATTGACCGCTCTGTTGCTGAAGTCGTATTTTCTGCCATCGAGTTTGGAGTAGTTTACTTTGAGTTTGTATCTATTGCTTGCCCGTGTGTTATTGTGGCTAAAGCTGAAGTAGTCGTTGACAGGTAGCACATTGTAGCAGACAATTTTGTGGACTAAGTTTAGGTCAGATAGTTGTCTAGGTCCATAATTTCAAGCCTGGTGCCATACGGTATTTTTTGGCAAGCTGAGGAGTGCAGTACTCTTCTCGTGAAATACCTCTGGGCTCGTTCAATTGTGTTGGTGGTTTTCTTGCAAGGCGTTTCATGAACCAAACTAGGTTACATCATCAGTGCTAGAAGGATATGCCGTTTAAAGGGTGGGGCAGGAGGAGAGGGAGGAAGAGACGGAGAACAATCAACCCAGGGAACAGAAGTTGACCTCGGAAGTTTTGGGAGCGTCATCACTTGAGGCTTTCGAGAAGAGATTGGACTACCATTTGTCAGAAATGGTGTAGGGTCTCCCACTTGGGCAGGGGGTTGGACTAGATGACCTACAAGGTCCCTTCCAACTCTGATTATCTGTTATCCGAGAAGGGAAAGAAATGAAGGGAAAGAAGAAGGAATAAGGGAAGAAGAACTGGGGGTTACTTGGTGCTCTCTGAGGTTGGTGATTTTCTTGCAGATGTTTCATTACCCAAACTGGGTTACATCACCAGTGATTCAACAGTCAAACTATTTACTGAAGTGAACTTTCTTTTGCCAGATATTCTTAAACAGAACCTCCTCTATTCAAGATGTTTCCCTTTAATTAGCTACCCAATCTCCTGCAAAACAGTTTTAAAAAATCTCCTTCCAGTTTCTGACATATTGATCTTTGGGGTTTTACAGACTTCTGAATTTTGGAATGCAGTTTTCCAATTAAAAATGGGACAGGCAGAGGGGGAGAAGTGGTTCCAAGAGAGAGAGAGAGAGAGAAAAGGAAAGAGAAAAAGAAAGAGAGATGAAAGAAAGAAAAAAAGAGATGAAAGAAAGAAAAATGAGAGAGAGATGAAGAAAGAAAGAGAGAGAGAGAAAGAGAAGGAAAGAGAGAAAGAAAGAGATGAAAGAAAGGAAAAAAGAATAAGAAAGAGATGGAGAAAGAAAGAGAATGAAAGAAAGAGCGAGAGAAAGTGAGGAAGAGAAAGACAGAGTGACAGAGAGAAATAAAGAAGAGAAAGAGGGAGAAAGAGAAAAAGAAAAAGAGGAAGAGAGAGAAAGAAAAGAAAGAAAAAGAAAGAAAGAAAGAAAGAAAGAAAGAAAGAAAGAAAGAAAGAAAGAAAGAAAGAAAGGGAGGGAGGGAGGGAAAAAGAAAGAGGAAAAGACTGAGAAAGACAGATAGTGAGAAAGATAGAGGAAGAGGAATAAAGAGAAAAAATAGAGAAAAAGAAGACAGAGGAAGAAAGAAAAAAGCAAGGAGGGAGAGAAAAAGAGAAAGAGAGTCAGAAAGAAAAATAAAGAGAAGAGAGAAATAGAGAGAAAAAATAGAGGAAGAGATAAAGGGCAGACTGCCTGAGAAATAATGCTATTTTCATTCAGCACGGAGTAAGAATTACGTATTCTTGTTGACTCCAGAGCTTTCCTTGCATGATCTCATGCCATTGGCTTTCAAAAGTCATCAGTCTGACTCCTGGCTCTCACATAATCTGCCATCCCAGGCAACCTTGCTAAAATCCTCCAGAGAGGATACTATTCGATCCATTCTGGTCTTACCACACTCTGGCCAAGATGTAAGGAGAAACATGTCAGCCTATATTTTCCCATCACGGTCTGCTGTGCGCAGGTGGCCCCTGTTTAGGAGCAGACAGGTAGTCCTCAACGTACCACGGTCACTAAGCCTAGACGTCAGCGTTCCAGAAAACTTCCATCCAACAAATAACTCCGAGGCAGACATCCTCCCCCAAGGTTCCTTTTATTAGAGTAGTAAACTGCCACATCTGGGAAATCCCAAATCTGAAAGTTCCGGATTTCCTTGCAATAAGTAAAAAAATTACAAATCCATCCCCTGCATCCATCATCGCATCACATGCCCCAATCACCATCAGTCCCAACTTGAGATGTCCTCTCACCCAGGTGCAGAAAGAACATGACCTTGACGTAGAAGAAGAATGCTATTATGCCTAACCACCTACGCTCCAAGAAATTCCCCCCTCCCATTTTCCCAGGCTCAAGAAGGTGGCAGCGCGGAAGCGCCTGGTGCTAATATGGCTTTCAAAGCTGACACCAGAATGATGGCTGTCAGTCATGCCAGTCATCGCACAACTGACTTTGTTTTTACCAAACGATTTAGAGCAGGGGTTGTGGAGCGGTGGTTGTTATAAAACAAACGCTGGGTTCATAAATCAAAGACTGTGGTCATTAAACGAACACTTCAGGTGCCAGGAGCGTTTCAGCCAGAAAGCAGAAATAAATGGTGCATTTTGGCAGCATAAACCACAATCATTCATGCAGCTATAATTGTGTGCTGGAAATGCACTCATGCGACTGCTTGAATGGCGCTGGACATCCAAAAAATTGAATCTGAGAAATAAATATTTAGGGGGAGGGCGTCTGTCAGAGCTTTGAATGTTTGCCAAATGACTGGACGTTAAGCGAGACCACCTGTACTTGTTATTGCCATGCCGTTTCATTTGAGAGAGAGAGAGAGAGAGAGAGAGAGAGA